GGGCCGCCAAAACAGCCAAACACGCGCTACCCAAGAATGGTTACAAAATTTTTCTCGCTTCATTTCCAGCGCACAATTGCCACCAAAATCTCCGGATACCAATCCGTTGTACTATTGTGTCTGAGTATTTTGGAAAGCAAGGTTGGCTCTTAAAAATACCAAAGTGTCGATCACCTCAAGCAAGCGCTTCGTCGGGAATGGACCAAACTACCGCAGAGCAACATTCGGGCAGCGTGTGACGGTTTAATTGGCCGTTCGAAGGCCATAATTCGTGCCAAAGGTGACCAATTCGAACAAATCTAAACTTATTCTAAAATTTGTTGGTATTTCCGATATTTTTTACTTTCATTCAATAAAATGTAAAAAAAAGGTAAAAATTATGGCGTTTGACCTTGTTGCACCTTTTTTATCGCACCCTGTATACAGAAGATATAAAATGGGATGGCAAAATGGAAATTGTGCGCTTTCTGTTAGCACATAGATTCCGAACCGTATTTATTTTGACATGCGTAGACTTAATTTTGAATTAATTGCGATCTAAATATCAATTAGAAATGGTTCTAATGTCAAATAGTGTTAAAATAAGGACTCGCACCCTTAGGTATAAACTCGATGCACAATTTTAAAAACCTTAGAAGAAAAAAACAAAATCAATGTCACTTACCTTGGAATCGATACCGATAATCTTGTTGCATTCTTCGCAAGTATTGGCGAAAACATTCTCGTAGCATTTAATGCAATAGGGATCTGGCTGGCATCTGAATAAATGCAGAATATTATCGCGAAAATATTTTGAAGGGTGCATTAAAGCCTTGGCACGCAAACATTTTGGCCGCAGACTTTGGACATTCCAACAGGAATCAGCACCATCGCACTCAGCACGCGCCACCCAAGAATGGTTACAAAATGAGGTTCCTCGCTTCATTTCCAGCGCACAATTGCCACCAAAATCTCCGGATACCAATCCGTTGGCCTATTGCGTCTAGAGTATTTTGGAAAGCAAGGTTGGCAATAAAAAATACCAAAGTGTCGATCACCTCAAGCAAGCGCTTCACCGGAAATGGACCAAAATACCACAGAGCAGCATTCGGGCAGCATGTGACGGTTTCATTGGCCGTTTGAAGTCCATAATTCGTGCCAAAGGTGACCAATTCGAACAAATCTAAACTTATTCTAAGATTTGATGCTATTTCCGATATTTTTTGCTTTCATTCAATAAAATTTAAAAAAAATCTAAAATTATGGCCTTTGATTTTATTGCAGTTTTTTTATCCCACCCTGTATATACTAAAATCTAAAGTTGTTTTTTAATAGGGAATTTTGTGTGAGGTTGTTCTTGAATGGCATTACGTGCAAAAAATAAGGAAAATTCCGAAGAAACCCAAAGCTTTGCATATTTGCGCATGATTTGATTTTGACGTGTAACTTTTCTCATTGTCATTTTATTATTGAGAAACTGTGATATTTTTCTTGCTGTAATCAAATAGTGTTGTCGTATTTCGTGTTTGGACTACGATCATTGAAAATTGAAAGTGACATTGAAAAATACTAAATTTTGTCAGAAAATTAAGTTGCCTGTAATAGTACGTTTATATATATGAGGGTTAACCCACTGGATTTGGATTTAAATTGTCATATCCATTACTTTTACTTCAAATAAATCCTCTCAAAGAAGGTTAACCCTACAAAAAGTTCTAACGTAAACATGGCATAAAATTCATTTACTTTGAAATATTCAAATATTCACAAATTTATAACATTGGTAATTCGGCAATTGAACTAGCATTCAACGCATCAGCGTTGTGCCATTTCACGGCGACTGGACATGAAATAGTCCAACAATTGCAAAAATGTTTGCATGAGTACGCTCAAAACGCGATGACGTACGTACGAAATTACGGACAATCATCTATCGATCAACATGACATAACTGCACGAATATTGAAACAAAACATCAGAGTACTCATGGATTGCATCTTTAAGCAAAAGTGTGTTGGCTTAATTCGTTGTTGGATGTACTCGGTTGAATGGCAGAAGCCTTGTGTACCACATATACATATTCTACTTTGGATGATCGACAAGATCCGAACGGATCAGATTGATTCGAAATACCAGAACAGGGAAAAGCATCCATAGTTGTATTCCATTGTGGCAACGAACATGATTCATAGCCCTTGCAAAGTTGACAACTCTGACTCACCTAGAATGGAAAACGGAAATTGCACAAAGCAACTTCGACGTCGTCCCTCTGATAAAAACAAACAAATAATCATGATCAAAGGAAAGGGAAATGATATCATCATTTATAACCGCTGGATCGTTCCATATCCAAAATTACAGTTGAGTAGTGCAACTTCATCAAATACGTATGCAAAAATGTGAACAGACCCGTTGACAGCGTCACAGACGAAAATGAAGCGTCCAACTATCTGACAGAATTTTTGAGCTCGCTTAATGTGCGTGGAACATAATGCAGAATCTGAATCTTTCGAAATTGTGCAACGGCACTCGGTTGTCCGAACTGATGGAACCTACATTATTTCCAGCAATAATCTAGTAGAATTTTAAACCAAATTATGTACTTTTTTATACCCTCCACCATAGTATGGAGGGTATATTAAGTTTGTCATTCCGTTTGTAACACCTCGAAATATACATTTTAGATCCCATAAAGTATATATATCCCGTCCGCCTGTAAAAATCACTCTAGCTTCCGAACGAATTGAAGTAGATTGATAAAATTTTTCGTATTTAAAATGGGTGATGTAGGTCCACGTTTTGGTATAGCCCCCATATAATTGTACCTCTCCTTTTTCGGTATTTTGATGATTTAAGCGACATTATTACCCGAAATTGTTTCAAATTTAGTATTTGAAGTTCGTAATGAATACTACAGCCTATGACAGAAAATTGCCTGTACAAGTCCACGTCTTCATATAGCCCCTATATAACGTTAACTCCCGATATTCGGTACTTCGGAATATCGATGATTTTAGTTACATTATTCACAGAATTTTTTTTTTTTTTTTTTGCATTTATGACAAAAGTTACCTATGCAGGTTCACGTCGTCGTATAGACCGTAATATAACGGCTACATTCGGTATTTTTAAGATTTTAACAGAATTAACGGATTTTTTTTAAATTGCCAAAATCGTTCCAAATGGTGTAGGTATTCAAAGATCGGCCCGGCCGAACTTACAGTTTTTTTACTTGTTTACTATTAGAATTTTAGACCCAATTTTAAACTTCATTGACATACATAGCGTGTTTGGTGCAACAAAAACATGAAATCGAACATTTATATGGAAGCTATATTCAAATCTGATCAGATTTCAATCGCACATTCGAAATTTTATTGAAATTGGAGATACATAGCGCTTTTGGTGCATCAAAAACATGAAATCGGCCAAAAAATATATATGGGAACTCTATCCAAATCGGAACCGATTTCAATACAATTTGGCTAATTTATTTTTTGATTAAATTCGACACTCATTCCAAATTTCTTTGAAATTGGACGTACATATCCCTTTCAATATATTTTGCAAATTTAATTTGGTACCAAATTTCGTTACACATTCCAAATTTCATTAAAATTGGGGATGCATAGCTGAAACGATTTCAATATAATTCGGTGAATTCATTTTTGTACCGAATTTCGACACTCATTCCAAATTTCAATTGAGTCGGGAATACAAATAATCGGTCTATAACATATATGGGAGCTATATCCAAATCTGAACCGATTTTAATATAATTTAGCAAATTTATTTTCTTATCAAATCCCGTTACTCATATTGAATTTCATTAGAATCGAACATATATATCGTATTGGTGCATCAAATAAACGAAATCGGTCGAAAATATATGTGGGAGCTATAACTGATTTCAGTATAATTTGGCAAATTTATTTTTGTACCAAATTCTAAATTTGGAGTCTGTATCTATAAAAGATCAATAGATATGTGCATTTAAAAACTACATTTTCTGGAGGTTCCTCCAATTCTGACACTTTATCTCCAGTTCCAAGTGGAATTTAAACAAGTAAAAACATTAAGTTCGGCCGTGCCGAACTTTTAATATCCTCCACCTTTGGGTAAAGGAAACATTAGATCCGTGAAAAAAATGTGACAAAAAACACAAAATATCGAATATCGGGAGGTACCGTTATATGGGGGCTATAACAAAACGTAGACCGACATATCTCATTTTCAATACTAACCATCCTAGACACCATACAAATTGTTCTGCCAAATTTTGAAGTTCTACGTCAAATAATGTGGGCTATATCGTGATTTCAACAGACTGGCAGACGGACATCGTTAAATCGGGTCAGATTTTTATGAATTATGGGTCTACGACGAATATTCATGGATGTTACAACGGAATAACAAAGTTAATATACCCTCCTCATCAAGGTGGAGGGTATAACGAGAAATGAGACTGCCAGGAATATTCCAAATTACATAGTGGCGTTGGAGACAGGATATAAATCAGGACATGTTTATATATGATTCAACTGTGATAACATAATATCTGCAACAGAAATTTAAAAGTTAAAAAGAGATATTGGATGGAGGCAAACCAAAAACTTTTGGGGGGAAACGAAAAACAGGACTGCCTACTCACTCATTGAGTAAGCCATGCAAAGTACCACAGAATATATAGGTTCGTTGACTTAACTATCGGTCCCCTCTAATACGAAAATAACAGCTAAGGAAATTCATAGAAAGACAAAACAAACATTCCGTCGTCTAAATATCCATTAGTTAATGGCTAAAGCATATGCACTTCAAAATTCCGAGCTGCTTACAATCCGAATACTAAATGCAAATAAAGGCTTATTGACCCAATAGAATAATTTCTGTCGATATTCTTTGTAACAATCTCACTTACAAATCCATTCTATTGAATTTAGATATAATTTTCCTGCTGCAAACAACCAGCGATATTTTCATAGCATTCTGATCAGAGAAGAGTGATGAGAACGGGAGATATGTTTTCTAAGAGAATTAGTTTACACACACTTTTTTATTTAGTCAACATATTAACAGATCTCTAACATTTTACTGACGATACGAACTCCATCCATTTCGTCTTCCTCTGATGAGTCTTTTTCCATAGATTCCATCTTTTCAACAAATCGTTCAATTTCTTTCTCCAATTTCTGATTGTCGTAGCTATTGAAAAGCTCATCTACCTTCTTGGCCTCGGCGGGAGCATCCTCCTTTTCATATTTGTCCGTAAGAGTAATGAATTTCTCCAACAAAGTCATCGATTTTTGGAAGCACATCCCCTTTTTAGTTTTGTATTCTTCGTACGAGGTCATGTATTCGTCTAATTCCGCTTTGTATGTTGAGTAGGCTTCAGTTTTTGGTATCTGCTCTACCACCGACTTCACAAGTGGACCAGTGGCTTCAGCCAAGTTTTTCAAAAAATTAACTGTGAATTCAAAACCTTCTGCAGTATTTCCACGTTTAAATCTTCCCAGGACTCCGGCAAGCGAAACCTTAAATATTGTTTCAATATTAGGCAGTTACTTGTCATTTCGATAGATTACCTGGCTTAAAGCAGCGAGGGACAATATTAAAAGAATGAATTTCATTTTCCACGTCTTCAGTGAAACTGTCATTTCAAACTAATTTGCATCGCATTTATTGAAGCGAGAATACAAGAAAAACTGTTGACAAAAAAACTCTTATCAGTTCTAAAACAAATTATTTTCTATCAGTGAAGTGCCCCTAATTTGACCTGTCATAAACTGAATTGCATCTAAATCGTATGTAGATCGATGTGCTCCAAAGAATACGAATTGCTAATCTTCAGCCTCTTTAATAATTGAACTTGGGACAGTTGAATAATAAAATCTTCTATCATCCCATCATTCACAATTGACATGCATACAAGTTTCAGCTAATAGCACGTTTACACATAAAATATTTACCCGTAACTTTTTTTCTGGAAAATTCTCTGCAAAATGCTTTGGTGCGCTTGTAAACAATATAATGAACTGTCACTGGAATAATTGTAACAGCTATCGAACGTGTGGCTTGGAAATGACAGCAGTCTGAAGATGGTTGCAGTTTTTTCATCTCATCCTGCATATTAGTTCTCTCTGAAACCAAACTATTACTGCCCTAAACCCAAATGTTAATAGTTGGTATGATCTACTCCAAATAAATTCTCTACTAAATATGAGTAGAGTATCATATAGTTGGCCCCGCCCGACTTTTGACTTTTGCTCATTGTATTTATACCCTACACCACATGGTGGTCAGGGTATTATGTATTTGTGCATTTGTTTGTAACAGGCGAAAGGAAACGAGATAGACCCATAGTTCCTTTTGATGATCTGCATAGAATCACATTCTGAGTCGATTTATGCATGTCCGTCCGTCCGTCCGTCTGTCTGTCCGTCCGTCCGTCTGTCCATGTATTTTTGTAAACAAAGTACAGGTCGCATTAATTGCCCGATCCAGATGAAATTTTGCACAGATCATTTGTTTGGCCCAAGGACGAACCTTATTGAAATTGGAGATAAGCGGTCAAAATTTAGACACAGCTCCCATATATATCTTCGTCCGATTTGCCTTTTATTGTGTACCAAACGTGTAATAATAGTTCGAATAGTATAGAATTTTGCCCGTACGATCAGATTGGACCTGAAAATAATTATGCCAAACTTGATCGAAATCGGTTCAGATATAGCTATATATAGCTCCCATATATATTGTTCATCCGATTTGTTATTTTTGTCCACCGCCGCCGTAATATGCACTCTACAACAACAATATTTAGGGAAATATATCAAATACAGCTCAGAAATACATTTGTTAAATTTTATCGAGATCGGTTCAGATTTGGATATAGCTCCCATATATAACTTCGTCCGTCCTTCCTTCGTTCGTCCTTTTATTGTGCACCAAAAATTCCATTCCAATGGGATGGAATTTGGCACTTACGACCGATTGAGTCTAGAAGCTAGTATGTCAAATTTGGTGAAGATCGGTTCAGATATAGTTATAGCTTCCATATATATTATTCATCCGATTTGTTATATTTGTTACCCACAACCGTAGTATGCACTCCGTAACAACGATATTCAGGGAAATATATCAAATACAGCTCAGAAATATCTTTGCCAAATTTTATCGAGATCGGTTCAGATTTGGATATAGCACCCATATATATCTTTATCCGATTCACATTAACTGTGCACCAAATGGGCAATACAATTCCGAATTTAAAATATACAAATGCTTCGGCATATTTAGTCCTTGAACTTTAAGTTATAATTATAATCATAGCGTGTATGATTGAATTCTCCCATAAAAACTTTTAATTGTTATGTGGAGCTCTACTTAATGAGCAAAGTGGTGTGGGGTATCATAAAGTCGGCCCCGCCCGACTTTAAGACTTTCTTTACTGGTTTTTTTTAACATTTATATCGGAAATTGTTAGTGTATACAATTGTATTTGTTTTTAACTTCTCACTGTTTATTCCAGCCGTCACTGGGGATAGATAATGCTGCGTTCTTAGAAGTTTGAAAAAAGAAACTTTACTTTGATCCCTTCTTGTAATTTTATACTCCCTTAAGTTTTTTCTTAGATTAGGTTCACATCAACCCTGAACTGTTTCGAGTTTTTTCATAAGTTTTCTTTCCGTTCTGAAGAATAGCTTATTTCTTGTGTTTGGAGTTTCTAGATTCTTTGAATTTTTTGAATGGGATATTCATCTTCCTTACTTATTGTTGTGTCAGTGCGATCTCAATGACAAAATTTGTCTTCTTCGTTTTAGGGAAATCTTCCCCCTACTGGAACAGTTGGTATTCTTCTATAGAATTACCTAAAGTGATATAATTAGATCTATTTCAATGAGTTGACTAACGCAAAATGTCGGGTCCACATCGTCTAAATTTGTGCTGGTGGATAAGGTCTTTAAAACTACAGCCCGTTACTTCAAATTTGGATCGCATTGTAAATAGGCAAGTTTTCGTAGATGTCTTGATAACAATTTGGCCGAGACCAGTGACATGCACTAGATTGTTCCATGGAGATATCTTCAAGAAATGTTTCATGTACTCAGGAACAAAGGTGGGGTTTGGTCCTGAGCCTGTTATAGTTCGGGCGTCGTAAATTTGTCCTTTTCCAACTTCTTCCTGATATTACTTCATTTTGTTTACCTTGGAGTTTCAGGGTAGTAGTGGGTTTTAGGGTTGTAGTGGACTGTATTTGATTTGTGAGTGTGGTAGCTCTAGCACTAGGTTGTGTTTCCACTAACCCTAGGTATGTTTTACCTTTGTAGTTTGAGTCAAATTGTATTTCGTTTTCCTTAAATGAAGCCCAAATTGTTTTTTTTTTTTTTCGAGTTCGAATTTAAACCACAAATGTTAGTGAGATCAGTTGGGGAAGTGGTAAGGTTGTTATGTCTTTGTGCATTTGTTTGTAACATGGAGAAAGAAGTGTAATGGACCTATAGTTACTTTTGAGGATTCGGTGTTTTAAGTTTTAAGCACTTCAGAAAAATTATATTTGGTACCATAACTTATGGAGCTCAAAAATACCGCTGCCAATTTTCATCGAGATCGGTTCAGATTTTTATAAAGCTCCGATATAAATCCTCATCAGATTTTATGGTTTTTGCTAACTATACGTGTAATATCAGTCCAAATTAAATACATTTTTATACCCCCCAGAATACATAGTATGGAGGGTATATTAAGTTCGTCACTTCGTTTGTAACTCATCGACCAACAAAGTATATATATTCTTGATCAGTGTAAAATTCTAAGACGACTTAGCCCTGTCCGTCCGTCTGTTGTAATCACGCTACAGGCTAAACGAATTAAGATAGAAAGCTAAAATTTTACCCAGATCTCTGCAGACAGGTCAAGTTCGAAGATGGGCTATATAACGGTACCCCATATAACGGTATCTCCCGATATCTGGTATTTTGATGATTTTAGCCACATTTTTCAATGGAATTGTATGAAAATCAACACGAGGAATTCTTTGTGGGCACTTTACCCCCTGAAATAGAACTATCCATATAGGTCCACGATATCGTATATCCCCCATATAACGGTACCCCCCGATATTCGGTATTTTGATGATTTTAGTCACATTTTTCAATGTTATATTCTGGAATTCTACACAAGGAGTTCTTTCTGAGTACTTTATCGCTTGGCTGAGAATTATCTCTATAGGTCCACGATATAATATAGTCCACATATAACAGTACCACCGATATTCGATATTTTGATGAATTTAGCCACATTTTTCAACGGAATTGTCTGAAATTCTACAGAAGGGGTTCTTTGTGAACACTTTACCCCCTGACATGGAGTTCTCTATATACGTTCATGATATCATATATCTCCCATATAACGGTACGCCCCGATATTCGGTATTTCGATGATTTTAGCCACATTTTTAAACGGAATTGTCTTAAATTCTATACAAGGAGTTATTTGTGAGTACTTTATCCTTAGACATAGATTTGTCTATATAGGATCACAATATCGTTTATCCACCCATATATAGGCACCTTCCGAGATTTTAACAGAAGTTTTTATGGATTTTATTTTAATTTTTTGAAAATGTTATAATTCGTTTCAAATGGTGGAGGGTATTAAAAGTTCGGCCCGGTCGAACTTACTGCTTTTTTACTTGTTTTATATTCAAACGAATTTTACCACTTGGTGAAACTCGGTCCGGTATATACTGCAACAAAGCCAAACACCATAATTTTTAAATTTTATTGAATGAAAGCAAAAATGTCGGAACTAGCATCAATTGTTCAAATTGGTCACCTTAGGTACCTTCAAACGGCCAATGAAACCGTATTTTGGTCCATTCCCGGCGAAGCGCTTGCTTGAGGTGATCGACACTTTATTCTGATGCCACGGTCGATTAATACGAGCGGCGAGCGACCATCGGTTGTTATGGCTGTATTTTTATACCCTTCACCATACATATTATGGAGGGTATATTAAGTTCGTCATTCCGTTTGTAACTCATCGAAATAATCATTTTAGACCCAACAAATTATATATATTCTTGATCAGCGTAAAATTCTAAGACGATTTAGCCCTGTCCGTCCGTCTGTTGTAATCACGCTACAGTCTAAACGAATTAAGATAGGAAGCTAAAATTTTGCACAGATCTCTCTTTTGACTGCAGGCAGGTCAAGTTCGAAGATATCGGTTCACGATAGATCTACGATATCGTATATCCCCCATATAACGGTACCCCCGATATTCGGTATTTTGATTATTTTAGTCACATTTTCCAATAGAATTGTCTGAAATTCCTCACAAGGAGTCCTTTGTAAGAACTTTATACCTTGGAAGAGAATTATCTATATAGGTCCACGATATCGTATAGCCCCCATATAACGGTACCCCCCGATATTCGGTATTTTTATGATTTTAGGCACATTTTCCAATGGAATGGTCTGAAAATCCACAGCCGGAGTTCCGTGGGAGTACTTTATTCCTTTAAAGAGAATTATCTATATAGGTTCACGATATCCTATAGCCCCCATGTAATAGTTCCCCCCGATATTCGGTATTTTGATGAGTTTAGCCACATTTTTTATAGGAATTGTCTGAAAGTACACACAAGGAGTTTATTGTCAGTACTTTATCCCTTGGAAGAGAATTAACTATATAGGTCTAACATATCGTATAGCCCC